AATACCTACCAGTTGCCAAGATGCCAAAATTGCTTTCAAAGGGAGGATAGCACGCGGGCGTGGAAACAATATGGCGTGAACACGCGAAAAAGTCCGGTGACGACGTGCAAAAACCGCTCGAGTATGTACATACATACACGTACATAGTACTATATACGACAGAAATTTCTCCCCCCGAAAAATCAACCGGTTTTCGCAACGTTCCCCTTTAATCTGCCTTAAACTAAACTTTTATTTCGACAAATACGATGCCGTCCTGGTGCCGATACATTACCTACTTAAAAACAGCGAGGGCCGCAAGCGTTTTCCAACAATATATTTCCGCGTAGAGGGGGGAATACTTTTCCAGATTCCCTTTAAATGGTGGCGGTGGCTTTGTTTTTAATGCGACTGACCCACTTGGCCCGGCGTCCCACTTTTGCCATACCAACCACCAGGAACTTCTAATAGTTCAGAATCTAGATCGTTCTTAACGGATTGATTGTCTCGATAAACATTTTCGTTTTTTCCCCTCTTTTCCTTTCTTTCTTTCTTTCACCTTAACGTGTTCGTCCGACAGATTCTCGCGGTGGAGAAATGGGCGGGAGAGAAAGAACGTGGAGGGTGTAGTAGAATTTTGGTACCGATTTGTGAATTTAATAAATTCGTACGGTTAATTTCTTTAACTTTTGTGTCATTTTAATTTCCACCAGTTTCACCGTGAGTTGCGATTGTTCCGATCACGCGTCGCTGTGAAATATGCAGGACAATGTAACCAATTTCGGACGAAGTTGAAAATCAGTTAGGTTTCTTTCATAGAAACTCGTAATTTAATGTGAACGGCAAATATCGTCTCGTTACTGCGGCACTCGTGAAATTTTCACTCTGCAACGACAATTCTCCGTTTCCATCGATTTTACACGTTCGACATTTACACTTTTTTGATAGAGAGAGAGAAAAAAGGGTGATCGGGAAAGTTGGATTAATATCGTTCGCGAAAAAATTCTGCGATCGTGCCAATCGATACTTTAACATACAGCCTCGTTGTGAACGACAGTGTAGATGTCAATTTTTAATTGAAAATTTTCATATTTTTCAATTCTTCTTGATCGCAAGATTCAGTTCGATTACATTCGAATTTAGAATTTTGAAATTTCAAAGAATTAGATATCAGCGATGGAGAAATCGATAAGAAATCCTAATAAAAAATTTATACATTCTTTAATTCTTCTTAATCACAAATTACAACTGAATTGTATTCAAATCTAAAAATATGAAATTTCACAAAAACTTGGACGAAAAAATATACGAACACAACGCGTGTCCCAATATTTACAAACGCCGCTGTGTACGTGCGAGAATATTGAAATAATAACCGGTCCTTCGTTATCACTATTATTCGTTATTAGTCCGAACAAACAACTTGACTGCTGTTTGTAAACGGGAGCGAGAAAACGAGCGGTATATACATACTTACGTCGATATATCGCGTCGATGTACAATCGTGAGAACATTTCACCCCGTTTTCTTTCTTTCTCTCTCTCTCTCCCTCTCTTTACCACGTTCCCTCTAATATATCCTGCCCCGGCTTCGGCGTCGCTCGGGGAAATACAACATAATAAACGAGAACGTCTACTTCTTGGTCGGGTGAAAAGTGGAGCACGCGAGAAACGCGGCGTGACGAAGCGACAAAGCAGCTAATTGATCGATCCTCGCCGCGATTCAGTCGTGCACCATCTTCGAGAGTGACCTCACGACCGCCCCTGCTACTACGTGCGCACCAAGATTAATATTGGTTCCTGCGTTTGAAGCCAATTGTGCAGCGGAAGCTGGCCGGCGACCATTCACTTTGAATGTATGGCAGCCACCGGGCCGTAGGAAATATGTTGTTAATATCGTTGGAAAATCAATCGTTTAACCGGCGTGGAAGGTGAGAAATACAGGTGATTTCGGGGGGAAATAAAGTTCGCCAAGTACCAAACAGGAATAACGAGAATTTGTAAATACGCGTCAATTAACTCGAACGCGTTACCAGGCGAACGGTGTAAAAGTAAAATATCGCAGTTTATGTTAAATAATAAACTGAGACAGAAAGTTTGACGATAATAATAAACACGTGAAATTGAAGTGAATTAGTTGTAAAAATAACTGAAACAATATAGCGACGAGTCCCTACGCGTTGGATACACTCAGATTCTCACTCTGAACTCGCACAATCGCACCTTGCAATTCTCTTTGTTCTCTGTGACAAGACGCGTCCCGAAGCCTGGCTAGATCTAGAAGACGCAGCTCAATTACCTTTAACTCGGACAGAAAATGACGAAGCAACGACAACTGCTTCACCGTTCGCTTTTCAACGTTTTGCAATTGATTTAAAATTCACCGTCGAACGTTACATTCGCCACTTTATCGTTTGTTTCAGTTTCAAATTGGAAAATGTACAATTAGCCCCTTGACTTCTGATTTGTTCTGCTCACTATGCATCTACATACACGAAAGCGTCGATTATTTACTGTTTTAGTGCTGTAGGTATTCGACAATCATTCAGTTTTACAAATTAAAACTTGACTTAAAATGAATGTTTATTGCCAGTATAACTATTTTCCTCGTGCCAAGAATTTGACTCGTTGTCACGAGGCAGTTAATTAATTTCGTCTACCTGAAGTTTCAAATCTGATTCGAATTTTTCGAAAGAATCTACACATCGAGCGACGATGTGAATATACTTTCTTTCACCGTGTACGTGGACGTGTATACGGTTGGAAAAAATATTTTACAGCCCCTTTGAAAGATGCATACAGGGTGGTTTAGAAATTTATGCAATTAGGTGCATGTTCCTCGCACATGATCGATTAAAGCGATGCCGGTACGTTGGATTCCGCAGCTTCTGTGGAAAATTTAATAGCAGATTGACGGCGTACACGGTTTCTAAAAGTGAATTTGTGACCTGCCACGATATTACCTGGCCACGCGTTACTATCGGCGTAGAAATCTAATTATATGTCGCGGGGCATTCTAAGTGTACGCGGTTGCATGTAAATGATGCATGGAAAATAGTCGAACGACTACACCGACGATGCAGTCAAAGTATAAAGACGATTAACAATTATTACTATGAATAATTAATAACAGAACGCTCTCCGATGGTAATTTTCATGCAGTTACCCACTGGTTGCTAATTTATGCTAATTTCACTATGCATTTTCAAACATTTTGTCCTTCGTGCATCTTTCTAAACACTACTTTACTCTTCCTACATTTTTAAAACATATTTCGAGCACTACTTATATTTTTTCTATATTTTCATAGGTAATAAATTGCAACTTGCAATTACAAATTATTGATGAATTGTGAATTGTTCTTGTCATACTGGATCGTTGACAGATAGGCATGCAAATCTATCGATTGGATAATCTATTGACGGAATCCTGAATCCAATTGTAACGCTATATTGAAGCTACGTAAGGTCAATTACGGAAACATGCTTAGGCAATTAATACGTGTAATTTATGGCACTTTTGGAAGTGACGTGGTGCAAATGATTACTCGCCAAGTGGGCAACGAAAATATATTTATTTAAACGTAATGCTTAAGCTAATTTCAAATATAAACTACATGATGCGCGTGCAGAGAATGTCTACGACAAAAGGCCTCGTGCCTTTTTCGGGGCTCCCTTAAGTAGCCCCTTTCCCCTGGGAAAGTCCCAGGAAGTGGGGGCGCAATACTCTTGTCCTCGAGGACGAAGAAACTCGGAGATGTTTGGAAAAACATCTCTCGATTCTTCGCCTCGAGGGCCAAGAGTCGCCAGGCCTAATTAGCACGCGAGCATGCAGTCCGCTAGCATAAAAAATCGAATTAGTTTCTTAGAAAAAATGTGGAAGTTAGGTACCATTTTCAAGTTAATCTTAAATAATCTAAGAAATTCGCCGACAGTATTTAATCAAATATTATTTACATTATGCAGATGCAGGAATTTGCAAATGTATTCGAAATATTTTCGTGGAAAAGGGTTTCACATGCAGGAGCCACTTTTTTTTATTATTGAATTCCTTTAAATTTCTGATTGAAGAGTCGGAATAGCGAGAACTGGGAAGAGCGATATATTACGGAAGAGGAACTGCATCTTTCTGCTGACTGCATTGTAAAGTTGAAAAGCAAAGATTCGGTACCTCAAAATGACATTTTCCAATTTATAGTCAATATCAGTTTTCCGGATGAAATGCTTTTTCACCGTGACATTTTTTTTTTTTCGTAAAGATATGAAAGTCTGGCTGCTTCAAATCTTAGACGGAATATTCGACGAAACGAAATTTCGTGGCTGAACCATTTTCTTCGAATTATGCAAGAAACTCGAACGATATTTCTTCTTATTTTTTAACGTGTACAATTTTTCACGATCGAACTACTCTGGAATAGTAATTTCACCTAGAACAGAATCCGCATAAATATTCATTCCTCCGATGTAAGAAGCGTCTGCTTAAGAAAGACTGTACTTCATTGTGTAAAATGAACTATTCAAAGAATATTCATGGTGTCAAACTCAGAAACAACGGAACGGAGCTTGAATCAGGTCTGTTTCAAAGAGAAGTATTTTTAACTTCGTAAAAGATCAGGAATAAAGTTTGTTTGGTATTGGAGAAAAAAATTCGTCGTTTAAATATTAATCACTTTTATTTAAGCACTAAATACCATTTTTAATTCGATATTTTATCGTAAAGTCAACGAGGATTGTGAACCTTGTATTAGTAAAAATCTAAACGTGTCAGAAATTAAGAAATATATTATAAAAGTTATTTTTAAAAAATTGATCAACTACAACGCGATTTGCAATGTTTACTTATTTTAATCCTTTTGTAAATATACAGTGTTGGCGTAATTTAAGCGATGCTTGGAAAAGATGGAAAGTTGAGCGTCTCGAGAGAAAAATTGTAATATCCGAAAACGTTTTCTGTTACACGTTTCCTCGATGTAAAACGGATTGTTCTATGAATATTAAACATACGAGGGCAGCGTTAAATTACCTGTTATACATGAGGACGTCAGGCTTCCAAAGTCTGTGCGGTGGGATCCTGAGATCTCTCACTCCCCCGTAATCCGATGTGTTCCATCTCATGTTCACGTCATTCCACTCCTGTAATTGAAAAGATTTTCTTGAAATCGTTCTCCACAGATTTTCTTGTCATATTGATCTATCGAATCGATTCGTTCGATACAATTCGTGTCACGATTTCTCCACAAATTTGCAAACTTTATTCTTCAACCCTTTAACACTGCGCGATAAAATCGCAAAGGATGTGGGAAAACTGACTTGAGAACTGTGTATCTAACTTATCGATTAATTAATTAATATCTTAAAAATATACAGATAGTTAATAACTTATCGATAATAATTACAATTTTGTGCTCTATTCTTTGGAATTGTTTTATCAAATCATTTTTACACAGGAAAAGGAAGAATTTCGGAGATTCACTTTTTCAGATTTGTTTTTTAAATAGAAGACCGTATATAGTTGGTAGAGAAAATGAAGTTTCAGCTAACTTTTGTTGCCATAAACTCGTCAAATAACCCGCTTGCTTGTTCCTTTCGCGAAGACGATGTATTGTCGATCCCTGGGTGCTAATACCACCCACGGTCGAGTTTTCCAGGGAATTCTCAAGACTTTCGTCTGAAGTTTGCGCGACTTTGCAGGAAATACGAAGCGATTTGGTAAGTTGCGGAGTTTTGCTGGGACTCTACTTCTGTATTTCAATCTTTCTTTGACCAGAACAAGAAACGATTCAGAGAGAACATCGATAACACTGCTAATATGTTCGTATACACTGTCGTCCATAAGTACTTGACTACTTTGTGAAATCAAATCGAGAGATTGAAATTCTTGCTTCAATGCGAGCAATCTCTAATTAAAATGAACACCAATTAATGTGATTGGTATGTAAAATAATTAGAATAACGTTAAGAATATTTCGTTCAATAAATTCCTTTAATGAATTAAAAGGTCTCTAAATCATGATTGAACCACCTCCATATTTATTGGCATAACACTAAGGTAGTAAATTTTCGTTAGATACTAATTTTTCATTATACTCTAGTGCTTTTGCCGGCTCGAAATGAATTCGATACGATTTTCGAGTTTCCAATTTGGAAAATTAAAAATTACACTGCTGGATCACTTTTCGTCCAACTTGTTACTTTCTTATTCGCAATAATTTTCCCTAAATATTATCTACATATTGTCAATTATTATCTTTAAATGCGTGTTTGGTTAGGGTAACATTGGAAAGAAAGAAAAAATCACGTAAAAAGTTTCTTATCTGTGAATTCATCGTCGAAAAGGATTCGAAGCGTTTCGCTGATCCTTCAACGTTACAAACAGCAAGAGTCACCGCTTTCGTTGCAGTGAAAAAGTGTAAGAAGAAAAAAGAAGAGGAGTTCTTGCGGGTTCGCCACTCGTCGAATACTTGTCTGCAGGAACGCCCGATCTGTTTCGTGTTAGCCATTAGATTCACACCCATTAGTCACCGACTCCCGATTGATTAGCCACTGATGGAGTACACCGGCGGATAATTAATAATGGCCACTGTGCTCGATGGTTTACGTTGCACGCATAGGCTGTTTATTATATATCCATTTGTACGCATGCGTATGGAAAGCCGGCACAGAATCGCTGCTCTGCATGTTATAACGGAATTAATTCACGGCTGATGAACGCGGCTTAAAAGTCAACAACACGAGCCACGAGCTTCCTTTTCTCAGTGGATTTCCAATTTCTCATCGTAGTGTGAAGGAAAATGCGATTTGACAGTGGTTGAATTATAGATACACGATTCTTAATCGAATTAGAGATAATAGAAACTCTGATTGGAGTGAGAAATTAGAATGAGTGATAATTTGAGACGGTTTGATTTTCTGGACGTTAATTTGTGGAGTGAGAAATTAGAATGACTGCTTTGATTTTCGGGACATTAATTTATGGAGTCAGAAATTTGAATGAGTGATAATTTCAGACGGTTTGATTTTCTGGACATTAATTTATGGAGTGAGTGATAATTTGAGACGGTTTGATTTTCTGGACGTTAATTCATGGAGTCCAGAAATTAAAATGAGTGATAATTTCAGATGATTTAATTTTCTAAACATTAACGTATGAAATGTCGTGGTTATTGTTCAATTAAACAAATATTGTTTCAAGTTAAATGTACTGTTAAAATTATTACTTTACAATTTACTATAAAATAACTTATTCGTTCAATATCACTTCCGTTACAAAGCAAAGATTGCACCTGGTCCATTTCGATTAGCAATAACAAAATTTCCATTTGACACGTAAATCAAATCTCTGTTCCATGCGTAAATATGATTTCACGTTTTATCCCCTAAATCCAATAACACGTCTTTGAGAGACAATATTGCTTTCTCTTAGCCGGGTTCCTTTACACACGGCATACATTACAAAGGACGCGAGTTTCGTTATTCGTAAGAAACCCGAGGAGCCTTCGTTCCTTTTGAAAGGAGACAAATGCTGGCAATCTTGTCGTACGCTAGACGTACAACGAAAACGAATTTTCCAAGAGCCTCGGTATGCAAAAGCGGCAGGAATAAAAGGCAAAGGTCGTGAAACAAAAACCGGAAAAAGGGGGGTCTCGCCCCCGAAAAACGCTACCAGATCCCTCCATTTGCTCCATGTTAAGTGAGGATATATACACGCGGTATTCTCGAGAGAGGCGTGGCCTGAACATTTTTCTAGTTTTGAAGTTTGGCCGATCAATCTCGCGGAATGAAACCCACTTCGACAACTAGTCAATCTCTTCAATTGAAATCTACCTCGATTCAAATCGAGTTCCAGCAACTTAGTCTTGCGAACTTTGCGAATTCGCTGACTGTCGAAATTTTCATTATTATAGCAGTTTTAATCGATTTTCACTTCTGCAGGTATAAGAACATTATTATTATCAACGCTCTACAGTGCTTCTGTTGATAAGACGTTAAAGTATAAGTAAACAGAATTGCACAAAGACCGCCGACCTTAAATTAATGACAAATATCGAAGATAAATTTGAACCCTCTCGCCGGTGAAAATTTCAAACGAGGCAAAATTGTATTACAACGCGACGTATCGTCTGTTGGGAAAAGTCGCCATGTATTCCAGTTACAGCGTCTCATAAACTACCATTAGACGAGCACACGTTCCGCAGATATTTGCGGACGATTTGAAATATAAATTCCGCGAGAACGGTAAGGAAAGGAGGTGAGATTCGAAGTGCACGTGCCACGAATTAGGCAATATAAATGCGGCGACGTGCGCGAAAAGCCCGAGTTTAATGATTTTCCCGTGTCCAATTCTCCGAAGGATAATTCTCAACTTTGCTCTAATTCCCCGGCTACCGAAGAACAAGTAAGATCCCCTTGCAATATTCATAAACACAAAAGTAAGAGCGAGAGCCTTCAGGAATCAATTCGCGAGGCGACACCGATTTCGTCTCTCACTGTCAAGCCAACCTCTAGCCGGGTCGACTTAATTAAAATGCTCGACCGATTTTCGTCGACGCTAGACGAATCACGGCGAAGCTAATCGAGGCTTCGTACGAATTTCGTCGGTTGGTTCGGTGGAATCGGCGATCGAACGAGAACGCGGCGAGAAAAGGACACCTTCTCGCGTTCGCACGAACGAATCGTAAATTCCACCCTCGGATTTTCATTTGCCCCTACATTTGCCGGGACTCTTTCGCTGGTTGTGTCGCGACACACATTCCTCTGTCGATGCTGCAGCAAAATCTCGCCGAGAATTTAAGGGCACGTCCGTGTTGAACTCGCCAAACCGAGAGGGTTGGGAATCTTAGCAATTTCGATTATAGTCGTCTCGAATTCGGGGAATCCCGATCATCCCACCCCGTCCTTACACTGGTAATACGATCAACAGATTTGTCACCGAGCACTGATCCACGACGTTACATCGTGGCATGCCGCTTTGTCTTCCGTTTCGATTTGAAACGTCTGTGCCGAATAGGTGTGCACAGTGGGCCAAGAAGATCGTATATTACAGAAACGAATGGGAATTGTTAACGTTTCACCGTGATGGTTGCTTCAGGTAATGTTGTTTTCGAAGATATATACAGGCTGTGAGAGAGGACCAAGGTGATACATGCCGAGGAATATTGGAAATGGCACATCTCCAGGCGACTATGTTTCTAAGAACCGCCGCGTGTCTTCGAGTATCGTACAGAAATAAGGAATATTCGCTGAATTCTGAGTGTAAAGGTTAAAAACTGATAATTCTTTTTTTTTCTCTTCTTGTTTTTTGTTAAATCAACTGCGAGATAATTAGGAACGTTGAACAGTGTTGTGTTTCCTGTATTTTGTCGGTTAATGTTGTTTCTTTGACGAAGAAAAATTTCGAGGGACCCAACGGGAATCGAACCCGGGACCTCCGGCTTAGCAAGCCGAGGCTTAGCGCGCTGCGCCAACTCCTCCCTCTCTATTCTCTCTCGTCGGTTTCCTATTTGGGTACGGAGGCCCCGATACTACATAAGTTAAGTATTTTTTTGTGGATTAGATTTTCTTTAAGGGTTTCAGTTTGTATTTGTCGCGGAAGAAGCTGTACTTTGGGCAGATCGGTATTAAATGATCTGTTGTTACACTCTTAGCACGATGGAGCAGGTTCCTTCGTTAGAAGACAGGTGTGGGAGATTTTACTAACGACTAGTCTCTTATTTTAAGTAAATATGTTAATTTTCGACGGTGCAACGATTATCTCAATTCAGACGAAATGTGACAGTCTCTTATTTTAAGTAAATATGTTAATTTTCGACGGTGCAACGATTATCTCAATTCAGACGACGAAATGTGATGCAGATCATTCCGAGCGAGCTGATAGAAAGAATTGTATCTTCGAAATGACCAGTACAGTGAAATTAGTTCTCGGACGACACGTAATAACAGATAAATTATGCTGAAAATGTTCGAACGACCCAGGCCGAAGTAGATGCAGTTATAAAATTCACGGAACATTAAGCTTCTTGCTTTTAATCTGTATAACGTTGCTCTTCCTGTAATTCCTTTGAATTCGCTGTCTTTAAGGTCCGGGCGTTTCGTTTCGCCAATAAAAGCCGAGCAATTCAACGAACTGTGACTAA